CCGCCCAGGCGTCCGGCGGCCCCGGGCGGCCCCCGCCCCTTGCCCCGCTATTTTCTTGTGTCGCAGGGATGGTAACAAACTTCTCAGCCTCATTAGAGAAGAGAAAAAGCCCGCAGACCTAGCTGACGGACGGCGCTGTCTGCGGACGGGGAAGAGGCCGCCCACTCGCTGAGGGAAACGGGGAAGTCAGTCCAATCGCAGCTTTTTTTTTTTTTTTTCTTTCCAAAGTGACTTGCGGCGACGCCAGGCAGAGAGAAGTGAGTAGTCAGAGAAAACAGCCCGGACAAACCGGCTGCTGGCAGCCCGGCCGCCCGGGCGGGAAGCGCCCTCTGCGGGAATGAAGTCATCCTACCCTCTCTGGGTGCGTCCAGACAACCGACCCGACTTTCCCAAGCCCTAGGAACCAGGGCTCGGCGCTCCACAGGTCCGGGGCCGCGCCTCCGACGCGGTGCCTCGCCTCCTTCTGCTAGCCTTGCTTAGGAAAAGAGATCAGCCCACTATCCAGGACCCCCAAACTGCCGCCTATTTCTTGTCCTTCTCGACGATACTTTGGCCGTTAATGTAGTTCAAGGCTTAACGTAACCCACAAACACTGAAAGTATCAAGGCCAAATGAATACTGACTGCTACCCAGGTTTTTTAAAAAAGTAATAACGAGTTAAGTGTGAGCTGTGGGATGGTGCCCTTATTTTTATTTTTCTATCTATCTGTCTATCTATCTATCTATCTATCTATCTATCTATCTATCTATCTATCATCTATCTATCTATTTAGACAGGATCTCTCTATATAGCCCTGGCTGTCCTCACTCTGTAGACTAGGCTGTCCTCCAGCTCAGGGAGAGCTGCTTGGTCATCAGGCCAGGCCCTGTATCCCTTCTTTACCTAGTCAGAGGCTGCTGTCGTCCTCCCCTCCCCTCTCCTCCCCTCCACTCCCCTCCCCTCCCCTCCCCTGTCCTCCCTTCCCCTGCCCTCCCCTCCAAGCCCTGCACGGCCCCACACTGTAGGGAGCTTTCCGCTCCAGTCTGTGGGTCCAGCTACTCCAGAAGCTGAGGCAAGTGGATAGCTTGAGCTGGGAATTTGAAGCCAGCCTGGGCAGCATGGTGAGATTTCCAGGAAGAAAAAGCCCCTTCGGAGGAGTGAAGCCCAACCCTCTTCCCTCTGCCCTTCGATCTTAGCTTCTTTCTGGCCTCCCTCTGCTTCTCTAGCGCCCCCTGGTGGCCCTTCTTTCCTCTGAGTCACAAGGCTCTCACAACCCTTGATCTCCATTGTCCATTATAATCCCATGGGAATCGCTTCTGAGTTTAATCTGGGTGTCTTTTCTGAAGTAAAGGTGATAAAAACGAATAAACATGGCTTTATGTTTCCATCCTTGGAAGGGGCCCAGGAAAATGAGGGCCAATTGTCTTCAGTCATGCCAACGGCTCAAATCCATATCCTTGTGTGGTGGTGTCTGGACGCCACTCACCTTCCCCTCAGGTCAGCACCTCTTCCCTCTTTCCTTTCCCTGCCGGCTGGCTTGGGAAGCTGAGGCCCCCACTGCCGCCATTCTAGCTCTAACCAGAGTAAGGAGATCCGTTTGCTGTCTACCGTGTGTGGGACCCACCGACCTCCCATTGGTTTCCACCCTAAGGAAGTGAAATGGACAACTATGTCCTGAAGCTTAAACTTCTTCCCCTTCTCCCCAAATTCACTCGGCCAGAAATTGCTGCAGGATTACTGTTCACAGGTCAAACAGGCTTCCACATCGGTCTCAAACCTTCTGTAGGGTCCTGTGTGTAGATGTGGCCTTCAGCCTGACAAGGCAGTGGCACCCTGAGTCATCTCCTGCCACTGGGCTTCCCTTTCAAGCAGCTTGGTGTGAGGCCCCTGCACAGACAGATCTTGCTTATTTCTACCGGTGTTCTTCCTGCACGGCAGAAAGCGCTGGAAGGAAGCAAGGCCGAGCTCTCCAGCCTAGGAAGTAATATATTCGTACGCTGTCTTCCTCACGTCTCCCTAGGCTTGTCATGGCCAGCAAGGGCTTTGCTCCGCCTACAGTAGGAAAATGTGCCATCCAGTCTGCCAGAAGGGCTCAGAAGGCTCCTAAAGCAGTGTGCCTGGCATCAGCCCAGCTACCAGATTCATGGCTGGAAGGTGGAGGTGGTCTTGCTGGTGGTGGAGATGGTGGTGGTGGTGGTGGTGGAGATAGTGGTGGTGATGGTGGTGGTGATGGTGGTGGTGGTGGTGGTGGAGATGGTGGTGGTGGTGGTGGTGGTGGTGGAGATGGTGGTGATGATGGTGGTGATGGTGATGGTGGTGGTGGTGGAGATGGTGGTGGTGATGGTGGTGATGGTGGTGGCAATGGTGATGGTGTTGGTGGTGGCGATGGTGATGGTGTTGGTGGTGGTGGTGTTGGTGGTGATGGTGATGGTGGTGGTGATGGTGGTGATGGTGTTGGTGATGGTGGTGATGGTGATGGTGATGGTGGTGGGGGTGTTGCTGCTGCTTCTGCTGCTGCTGCTGTGAATGGAGGATGGGCCAGCCTCTTCCCAAGAAAGACACTCTGAGTATATCAGTTACTCATCATGGCTGGGGCATGCCCCAATGCCCTCTGGGACATACCTGCTTGCTCGGCTCTCTCTGCAGCTTGCTCTGTTTAATCTGTCATCAGGAAGCCCTGACTGAACAAAGCCTTCAGATTGCCCAATTTCAGCAGCCGTCCTAAAGCACACCTCATCATTATAAAGCAGACTTATTTGCTAAAGGAGTAGCTGTAGCCTATGTGCTGACTCCACGGGGCCTTGATCACGCTGGTCAGCCCCTCAGGCACACATCTGAAGCAACAAGCTGATCTTAAAGCCCTCTTCCCTTTCCTCCGTTGCCTTTCCTATTGTGATACATACTGAGGTTTGCTCAACTCACTCTTTTCATCTTCATTCTACTTTGAAAATACACCAAATGGGGTCACTTGCTCAGTGTTCAGATTATAGGTTGTAGCTTTGCCTCTTAAGATCTGAAACAGTAGAAAAGAGTAAATGGCCAGTTCTGCAGTTAAACACGAATACTGGCAGAGAAATGAAAGGCTTATAGACCTGCCCAGCAGTTGCCCTGCTACGAGACTGGCACACGTGCCCTCTGAAGGGTGGAAATCTCCAGCAATAAAGCCTGCACATTGTGACCCTCAGTCTGAATGCACACCTGACTTCACCTTATTGGAAAAAATGCAAATGTCGTATTCCTATAACCATCCAAACAACTTTTGTGAGGTGTCCCTCGTTTTTGTTACACTTATTTAGTGTGTGTGCGCGTCTGTCTGTGCCATAGTGGACATGTGATGGCTAATGGCTAGAAGACCATTTCAGGAGTTAGCTTTCTCTTTTCGTCACATGGGCTGTAGGCATTGACTTGAGTCACAAGGCTTGCACCTTTAGCTGCTGCGCCATGCTGCTGCTTCTGCTTCTAAACTGGAAAAATGCCATTTTAGTTTCCCAGGCTACAAATTTAAATAATAAGTTGCCTTTAAATTTAGCAAACATTGACTGGGCTCTGGTCATTAAGAACGTTTTTTTTTTTTTTGGAGGGGGGTCAGGTGCTAAGTAACAATTTCCAAACACGTTATATAGAAAAGTGCTTTCTCCTGTGTTAACATCACGGCAGTGCCAACTTCTCCCCTGAGGTTGAGTAGGCACTTGTCAGTTACAGTGGTGGTTTGAGATAAGGGTCAAGAGATTAAAAACAACTCTTACCCAACACAGGTATGGGGTAATAAGGCAGCTGAGGACCCTTGTCCCTACCTGCCTGTAAAGGAAATGGTCCACCGTTTCCCTTCAGGTGTGTGTGAGTTCTGGAAGGACAGAGGGAGCGGCGAGGGGAGAGTGACAGCAGTACACAGCGAGTTTCCCCGGGAGCTTTCACCCACACCTACTGTTTTAGTTTATCCCAACTCAGTGTTTAGAACACGCTGGCCGAGACAACATTCCAGCCTGGAACACACTCGTGGACTCGGAGTACGCCCTAACAGCCAGCCCGGCCCAGCACTCCTTTCTTCACCCACCCCAACAGTGTGTGGGCCTGAGAACGAGGGTAGAGTGCTCCGATGCCTGCTGGTTTGTTTTGCTACCGGCTTTAACTTTTCCAACTGTTTACCCTTCCAAGATGCTACAAGAACAAATAGAGTAATTTGAAGCCATAATTCTCATAGTCTGAGCAGTTCTCAAACAAACCAAGAAATCAGCAGTAGAGTGTGTGTGTGTGTCCCTACGGGAATGCTATGTGAAGACTGCAGACTGCGTAGGAGTTATAAAGTTATAAAGGTAGGAGAAAGGACCAGTTGTTGACTTAGAAGTTGTAAAAAAAAAAAAAAAAAAAAAGGCCCTTTGTGCCTCAGGGAATCAAGCGTGCCCTGGAGAAGCAGCTTGGAAGACAAAGCTTGGCAGTAAGTCTCTGTTTTTAGTAAGCAGGTTTAAGGTTTAATAATCATACTTAGGCTCCGATAGGAAATAATAAGACCAGCCCAAATAACACACGTTTTGTTTTGGCTTGACTTGTTTGTGGTGGTATTTGGAGCCCCAAGGCTCCCTGCAGCCTAGACCCTAACCAGAATCC